TGTCAAGGGTGTGCCCATACAAATTCAAGATTTCATTTTCACCAATCAAAGAAATAAGCAAAGAAAGAAAGGATGCTATGGATGCGACAAGTTGGGGCACTTTGTGAAAGTTTGTCCAAATAAGCCCACACCCAAGACAAAAAAATGGTGTGCAAAGACAAAGCCCTCACATCAATAAGGTCAAGGGATGATTCTTCAAGTGAAGAAGAAGACCACCACAAGAGGCGCGGGCACAAGCACTCATCATCAAGCACTTCACGAGTGTGTCTTATGGCACGAGGTAACAAAAAGTCTATCCCTAGTGATAGTGACAATAATAGTGATAGTGATGATGACTACCTTCTTATGAGCAACTTGTGCAAGGAAATCTTAAATATGCTAAAAGTTGCACTAGTCAACAAAAGAAGCTAAAAATGTTGCAAGAAAAGATAGATAATTCACAAGAAGCATATAAAACCTTACTTGAACAATATGAGATATTTGCTAATCTCAATAGTGAACTATCTACTAAAATTGAGCAACTTGAGGCTAGTGCAACAACAAATGCATGCACAATCAATGATGAACAACTTGTAAAGAAAAATAAAAAATTAAAAGAAAAGTTAGCAAGCTCACAAGATGCCTATAAAAGTTTGCTTGCTAAAATGGAAACCATGTGCAAACATTGTCATGAGCTAACTAATAAAGTAGCTAATCTTGAAGCCATCGGTACTACCCCACCGAGGCACCGAAAAACAAAAATTCAATCTTTGACAGGCCTAAAAAGGATGCCTCTACTTCTTGCAATGATTTATGTTTAGACTCACCCTTGTGCAACCAAGTTTGTGTTGAGAAAGTTGTTGTAGATACATGCACACAAGAGGTTGCAATGGAGAATGAGCAACTCAAGCAAGAAATGGCTCACCTTACCAAGGACTTGACTCAAGTAAAAGGCAAAACGGAGCAAGCCCAACTTCATCAAGATAACACCATCAAGGGAGTGAAGAAACTTGATGAAGGATAAACTGTGGTTTGCTATGTATGCCACAAGGAAGGCCACAAGTCCTATGAGTGCAAGGTGAAGAATGCGGGAGGAGCTAAGAAGAAAGAGAAAAACAAAAAGGAAACAAGCAAGCTCTCCAACACCTACACCAACAAGGTGGACAAAACGGCCTCCACACCTTATCTCTTGAAGAAGAAGAAAAATGACAAGGTGGTGGCCATCAAGGTGAATAAGCAAGCCAACAATGGGGCCAAACGCATTTGGGTGCCAAAGGAGATCATTTCCAACATGAAGAGCACCAAGAAGGTTTGGATCCCGAAGGGGAAGTGAGAAGTCCAATGGAGCCCGGGAAATTTGGAGACTTGGCATAATTTGGGTGCATTTCATGGGGTGCATCATGATGGTCAAGGTAATTGCCAAGTGGGTTAGTGAATATTATGGACCCAAATTCCCCTCCCCATGTTAGGTAACTAGATTTAATTTCTTGCAATTTCAATTAGCATCTAGTTCCTTTTCGTGCCTAGGTTTGTATTTGCATGTTTAATCTTTTGTCATGCATACACTAGGTATATCTTATGGTAGGCTTGCTCGGTATCACTCTTACCCTTGGAGCAAACCTACATGGTTTAAATTGCTTAGAAGCATGGCACATAGCTTGTTTTACAATTGTTTATCTAATATGTGCCAAAGTCCAAATTGCAGATAATTTCCCCCGAATATCACTTTTGAAAATGGTTATCACGTTCATGTGATGTCATCTTTTAAATGGTATTTTTTTAAATCAATATGCATGTCTCCTACAAGTATTCCATGCTTGTATGCATAAATTTAGGGGGAGGTTACTCTACAAGTTGGATGCTTTGAGACTAACACCATTTCAAGCTTATCTATGTGTAGTAGTCTCATTGCAAGAAAAATGAAGTCCCTGGAGATAAGCATCAAGCTCTAAAATCCACCACCATTTACAAGTAATATCATTGCAAGTGGTGATGATCCAAGTGATCTCTACATGTGGTATTTCTAAACCGATATCATTATGATGATTTCACTTTGGTATTTATATGCTTTCTCCATGCATTGTATAGATTAAACTCACTTGTGCATTATTTTGCCAATTATGCATATACTTCACCCTCCACCATATATATGCATATATTTAGGGGGGGCTTAGTCTATGTAATGTGAGAGTCAAGTTTTGTGATCTATTCCACTCCACATATAAAGGATCACAAAATTTGACCCTCCCTTGTTCTACTAATGTCTTCCTTTTCGGTGTTTGATTCCAAAGGGGGAGAAATTGTAGGACCAGAAGCAAGCCCGATCATAATAATTTACAAGTGGTAATGGTCCGAGAAAGGGAGGATAGTGGATTATGGAGTTAGGGGAGGCTTAAGTCCATAATACCATTTGGGGACATTTGCAAGGGCAAGATAAGTTTCCAAAAGTTCATACAAGAGATACCTTTAACATCATATAAACTTGCCCCTTGGTTTGCATCCTAGCAAGTAGATAGTTTTTTAAATTTCAAAATTTCTATCATTTGCTTGCTTTGGTCGTGTTGTCATCAATCACCAAAAAGGAGGAGATTGTAAGAAAAATGGACCATTGGCCCATTTACTTTGGATTTTGGTGTTTGATTATTAATAAGATCAAATTGGACTAATGTGTTTGCGAGTGTTAGTTTTGTAGTTCAATAGGTTGCAAACGTGACTTGGACGAAGGTGACGTGATGATCCGATGATCAACACCTCAAGCAAGACCCTAGAAGCACAATAGAAGACCCAAGAAACTAAGCAAAGTTCAAGCACGAAGATAGGAACCAAGCCGGATGCAAGATCGTGAAGAAATGAGCTCGACAGAGGTGATCGAACGCGGCCCTTATGAGGACCGGATGCGTCTGATCAGCTGCTCGGCAACAGCAGGCGTCAACAACAGTGACCGAACGCTGAGCGAGGCAGTGATCGGACACACGGACTTCACTGTTCATCATCGTGGCGACAACTCAGTGAGGACTGAACGCAGCAGCTGTGGACGACCGGATGCGCCGGGCAGTGGCGTTCGATCGAGTCCAGAGAGGTTTCAGAGCGATGAAACATCGACTGGACGCGTCAGATGGTAAGCGATCGGACTCGCCAGAGAGTCCGATCAACAGTGGGTGCCAACGTTCGGCTTCAACGATCAGGACGACCAGACGCGTCCGATCAGGACGACCTGCGCGTCCGGTCAATGGCAGAAAGCTAGGTTTCGTCCCCAATGACTACTTTCTCCATGAGACTTATAAATAGACCCCCCAACCGGCCAATTGTGAAGTGGAGAGCTGAGAAAACATACCAAGGGTGTTGATACACTATTTTAGTGATCTCCACTTACAAAGTGCTTAGTGATTCATTAGGTGATTAGCGTAGGTGCTTTGCGAAGTGCTTAGGTTGATTAGACCACAGCTTATTCGCTTGCTCTTGGTTTAGGCCTAGTGTTTAGTGAGGTTTGCATATCTCTTATTACTCAGTGCTTGCGTGCACCATTGTTGTACATTAGAGGGGCTTGTAGTCTTGCGAGATCACACTAACCGCATTTGTGGTGTGGCCGCCCTCGTGTACCAAAGGGAACAAGGCCCGCGGTGGTTCGGCCGGAAACTTGATAGTGAAAACGGCGGGGAGCGTTCGGGGAAAGGCTTGCCGGAAGGCACATCGGAGACCCCACTTGCGCGTGGGGAAGGACCAGGGCTATCCATGGAGTTACCTGACCAGGAGCTTGGCCCTTGCGAGGGACTCCTTGTGAGGGGCTTCAACGAGGACTAGGGAAAAGCTTGAACGCTTCTCGGTACCTCGGTAAAAATACCAGAGTCGTTGACGGGAGTTTGCATCTCTACCTTATCTTTACCTTCCGCATTCACATTGCTACATTGGTTGATTACTTTACTTTCCTAGCTTAGTTGATAGGATTGGAACCTAGGTTGCATAACTCTTTTGCAGTAGAGATAGCAACACATCTAGCAAAACCGTAGTTGCACATCTAGATAGATTACCTTCTTGCATAGGTTTTGACTTAGGTGAAATTAGAGACCATGGTTTAGAGTAAATTTTTAAGTTGCTTAATTCACGCCCCCTCCCCCTCTTAGGCATCACGGTCCGTTACAGCACCTGCCCAGACAAGAGCGCATGCGCTCACGCACTCCCCTAGGTACAGAGAAAGACGGCTACCCCTCCCCTAGGTCTCCTCTGACCACTGGATCCTAGGGCAAAGCATCACCCCTTGGGCTGCGCCCTTCTAACAAACAAGACCACACCCTGACCAGGCTATGTTAGGGGCGTGGCTCAGCGCCACCTGATAGACAGGCGTACGGTCGTACCCACTACGGGAATGGAGCTCACGACCAAGAATCAACAGCCTGTTCGCTTGCTCGTAAACGATCGTAAATTTCCAGCCGGGAACAGTGTTTTTCTCTCACACCAAACCAGCCAGCAGTAAATAATCCACGATACGATACGGCCTCCCGAACAGGCTGCAACTCTCACCAAACCAGCCGGATTCAAGGTCCCTCGACCCGACCACAGAGGGCAACACTGCCACGACCATGGAGGTATGAACGCAAACGAGCACTAGTAGTAAAACAAATTTCCAAAGCCCACCTAGTTAAGGCCATTCCAATACAATATGAGCAGCTACGTGAATAGCTTCAGTTCCACTGCTGCATCTTTGGGGCGTCACGGTCTTCAGATTGACTACCGGTATAACTCGAATGATTGTCATACGAGGCTGAGGAAGTATTCATCATACAGCTACAACACAAGTTTCCTGGATCATGGGCAATTTATCCGCTGCCCCCCATTGAATATTGAATATAATAATATAGTCCTAGGCTTACATATAAGCCCCAGCCCACCTTTGGCTCTGTGGTCTCTGAATTACATGATCATACAAGGCAAGATGAAGTGAACATAAGTCGAAATGACAATAATTTACAACTCCATAAGATAAGTTCAAGCTCCCCAAGGAATAATACATGAATCACATCCCATCAGTACAGGTATCTTGTTTCCTCTGTAGAAGCGTAGTATTGAATATTTTTTCCATCTGCGATAACTGCATCTATGACATAAAACAAGTGTTGTTAGATTTGTCAGGTGGTACACCGAAAACAAGAACAGTATGCTTTTATCTCGAGACAAAGATTCAAATCATAATAATTCTTGAGCATTCTTTAAAAAATTCATTGCACTACTTCAATGATAACGATGTGGCCAAAACAACTATTTAGAAACCAGAAAGACGATGACAAAGAAATTTTAAAAACGTGAAATATAAAAACAGCAAAGTGCAAAAATTCGCAAAGGCTTCAATTACTTAGTTGTTTCAGTGGCCAGGCAGATTTGGAAGCATAGAAATTTGTGTTTTTGAGGGAGCTTCCAAATGTCAATGATGTTATGCAGAACATTAGGGATGAAGCCCAATTGTGGGTCCTCAGTAGCGTTTAGCCATAATTATTCTGCTTATAGGACATTGGCCGTAGTTTCTTTATTTGGTCAATCCTCTTGTAGGAACCATATAGTAACATGCTTGTATGAGTAATTGATTATTCTAAGACTCCCTCCTTTTTTTCCTTATAATAGAGTAAAGTCCATTGGCAGTCCTTAAGCTTGTTTATTGTGTCATCTCGGTCCTTAACTCGCAAATCGTCCATTTAGCTCCTCAATCTCTGTTCGGGTCCTAAGAGCCCGTCCAAGCAGGTCTAGAACCTTGCATGTTGGCTGATGTGGCATACTAACATGAGCTTCACCCCTCGCCTCTCCCCTGAGCTCCATCTCTCCTCTCTCTCACGTGTCGCCCTAGGCTTGGATGGCCATGCATCGTGCATGCCAAGATGGCTGGCTAGAGCTGGTAGCAGCGTGAGCTGCTCTGGCAGGGAAAGCGTGCTGGCACCACCCTAGCTGAGTGGGTTGTGCCCCTGGCCGCACATCCAAATCAAAGCAACTGTCATCCTTGCACTCGATGGGCACGAAAGCCAGCACCGATGATGGCCATGGGATCTCAACAGGTACGCAAAGAAGCCACCGCTCATGGGGATCTCAACGGTGAACTCGGTGAGCATGAAGACGTCGATGCCAATGACGAAGCCAAAGCTGAACCACGTGAGGCACCGGCGCATCTCGTTCTAGATGCATGTGGACCAGTCGTGGAGGCAGGTCGGCGTCTCACCCAGCTCCCGATGGTAGGCGCCCCAGCTCAAGAGCGACAGCTCCGAGTAGTCCCTGTGCCGCCGCCAGTAGCTCCTCGTCGTTGCTGCAGCTTTGCCTGTGCCCATGCTCCCTCTCCCCTAAGCTAAGCAGTGGCAGGGCCACAGCACCCGAGCCCCTAGCAACACCTTCCCAAGCCACACGTGCGCCTCCCCAATCCACGCCAAAGAGAGAGGAGAATGGCGGAGAATGGGCTAGACCCACATGGCAGCATGCACAATAGTATACAGGCATGGGCTAGATCCATTTTACTGGATCTGAGACCCGAATAGAGATTGTGGAATTAAATGGTCGATTTGGGAGTTTAGAGACCAAGATGGCACAACAAAACAAGTTTGAGGACAGCCAGTGGAGTTTACCCTTTAAAATATAATGATGCACAACTCCTGCACGTTCAAGGAAAAAATAAAGAACTATGACATCCAATTTTGTTATTTTGCACAGTTCATCTCTTCATTTCCAATTCTCCCATCATCTCAACCTGTTTTCTGCGTTTTCTTTGTGAGAAAATACCCATAATGAATAATCATCTTATCTTTATTAGAGTAGCATACCATGTACTGCACTAGTTAATCTATGCCAAACTCCAAATGAAGAACAGCTGGTCATGCAAATAAAGTTATATAAAGTTAATCATACTTATGTATTCTAAAGGCAAAACTTCACTCAAAGAAAATGGAAGTATATGGCTCTAAATGAAGAATAAGATGCCCAAATATGCAAATAAAGTTATATATAGCACACGATTAAGCATATCTAAATAAATTAACCAATAGACTACAAGAGGTCAAGGAGCACATGCCTTTGCCAGAAGAAATGTAGAAAAGAAACACTTTAGAGCCACTCATTAACGACATAAATGGAGTTGAACTAAAATAGAAACATGCACGGCTGCCAATTAATGAAGTCCATCATACATTTCACTGATTTTTGTGCTTTTGTGCTGTCATAAACAGACAAGGACAAAATGGCAATATTAGGAAATATTTATTTTAATTATGGAAATATGATAAAATAATATATATGATACAGTACTTTTCTTGTGATTTTGGACATTTGCTGAACTTCCAGTTACTTCTTGCTTTCTCTTCTGAAATAATAAATGGAAAATATTAGAGCATAGAAATCCTCAGTTCAGACAAGCTCATATCTAAAATAAATAGGATAGATCAGGTAACCTTCTCATGTTTCTTGGAATGATCACATCCTGAATCATGATTCCCACTCTTGTCCTTTTTCTTTTCTTTGTCTTTGTCCTTATCTTTATCTTTACTCCGATCTTTATGCCGATGTTTGTGTTTCTTCTGCTCCTTCTCCTTGTCTCTATCTTTCTCTTTGTGTTTCTTATGCTTCTTTACTTTATCCTTGGACTTGACCTTGGATTTCCCAGATATGGTTGGTGTACCTTTTTCAGCCTGTTTTGAGTACAGATTACTTCAGTAATAAGGAAGAGTCAATATAATCAAAGACATAAAATTCTAACCGAACATATCTTACAGAAGGCAAGTCTACTGGTGCAGTTTCTCGCAGCTGAAATGCTTGTCCTAGTATTTCCATGTCAAATGGCTGAATGTAAGCAGTCTTCTCACTTGAATATGAGTTCTGAAAGAGTTGGTCCAACTCCATCCCTTCCCCCTTACGAATTTCTGTGTCGCCCACAACATTGTTAAGATAATTTGTATCTGAAATTGCCAATGGCAAAGGTTTCTTGCAAAAGAAACTATGATGATTCAGCAGCTTGTAGCGACTAATTAAGTCCACAGCACCACTAAGCTCCCGAGGACCTGAAATACCGAAAGAAATCATGGTGGTTGAGTATCTACTCTGGGCAATAGAATTAGCAATTGTGAATAACAAGGATCCAGGCTCTTGGAGTCAAAGACTGGAAAAAGGTGATGCTTTGTGCATCATAAACAAAAGAGACTTAATTGAAACGAATATATTTGCCCTTGGAAGTAAAGAAGTCAATAAGCTAGCCGTAGTTTGTATACTACATAGAACCTCTAATATCATTACAGGCACCAAGATACCAACGGCATACATGGTGCCAGTGTCACATATCAAAAACTAATTCCCTAAGGGCATGCACAACACTTACGGTCAACATGACCATAGGGGTGGGCGACCTGATAAAGAGAGCTTTATTACCTCCTCCATCACAACTTGTATAGCTCAAAGAAGGTTGTTGGCAGGTCACAAGGCATAATATAAATAGAAAAACTAAAACTATAGCTCCAATCATCCCTCCCACCTTCTGCAACTATGGGTGTGTTTGGTTGGTGGATGGGGTTGCATCGTATATCCTAGCTGAGGGGATGCAGGCTGAGTGGAACCGTATTTTAGAAAAGGTGTTTGGTGGGGTTGCATGAGCGGAAGCAAAAAAAACTAAGATGTTGTTTGGTTGCCTGCTATGGGAGAGAGTTATCGAGCATCGCTTAAGAGCAATAACGCGGGTCTCTATGAACCAATTTGGTTTCATGCCCGGAAGGTCAACCATGGAAGCTATTTTCTTAATAAGACAAGTTATGGAGCGGTATAGGGAGAAGAAGGACCTACACATGGTTTTTATTGACTTGGAGAAGGCTTATGATAAAATACCAAGAAATGTTACGTGGTGGGCTTTGGACAAACATAAAGTCCCAACGAAGTACGTCAGGCTCATTAAGGACATGTACAACAATGTTGTGACTAGTGTTCGAACAAGTGATGGAGACACGGATAACTTCCCGATTAAGATAGGACTACATCAAGGGTCAGCTTTGAGCCCTTATCTGTTTGCCTTAGTGATGGATGAGGTCACAAGGGACATACAAGGGGACATCCTTGGTGTATGCTTTTTCATGGACGATGTAGTGCTAGTTGATGAAAGTCAGACGGGAGTGAATCGAAGCTGGAGTTATGGCGGGAGACTTTGAGTCAAAGGATTTAAACTCGAAGAGAACTAAAAGCGAGTATATGAGATGTGACTTGGCACTACTACTCGGGAGAGGAGGAAGATATTAGTTTGGACGGTCAAGTAGTGCCGGGAAGGATACCTTTCGATATTTAGGATCAATGCTATAGAGAGACGGGGATATTGATAAAGATGTTAGCCATAGAATCAAAGCGGGGGTGGATGAAGTGGCGCCAAGCATCTGGTGTCCTATGTGACAAAAGGGTACCTGAAGCTAAAAGGTAAGTTTTATAGGACGGCGATTAGACACGCTATATTGTATGGTGCGAGAATGTTGGCCTCTGAAAAGGCGACATGTTCAATGAGATAATTGTCGCGGAAATGCGTATGTTGCGTTGGATTTGCGGTCATACAAGAAGGATCGAGTTGAACGATGATATACGTGATAGATTAGGGGTAGCACCAATTGAAGAAAAGCTTGTCCAACACTGGTTGAGATGGTTTGGACATGTCCAACGGAGACCTCCAGAGGCACCGGTGTGTAGTGGAATCCTAAGCCAGAATAGTAACGTGAAGAGAGGCAGAGGAAGACCGAAGTTGACTTGGGTAGAGGCAATAAAAGGAGACTTGAAAGGATGGAATATACCCAAAGACTTAGTCTTAGATAGGAGTGCTTGGAAAACAGCTATTCACATGTCTGAACCTTGATTGCTTCTGCTGGGTTTCAACTCTAGCGTACCCCAACTTGTTTGGGACTTAAAGGCTTTGTTGTTGTTGTTGTTGTTGTTTGGTTGCCTGCATAAGCGGATGCAACCAGTCTAACCTGTGAGACTAACACGTGGGCCAGTCACCCTCATACTGTATCCACTCAGTCTAGCTAGGCAGTGAAGCTCGATTTGGGCGTATTTCGCCAACCTGTATCCACTCATGCAATTGCATGCAGCCAACCAAACAGACTTCAGACTTCTCACTCAGCTTTATACGGCTCTGCCCATGCAGGACGAGTGGAGCAGACCAACCAAACACACCCTATGTCATTCCTGCACCATTACAGCAGCAGCGCCTCTCTGCTTCCGCTCCCCAGCGATGAGATCCTCTTCCTGTTCCCATTCCCATTCCCCGTTCCCTTCGCAGCGATTTCCCTGAATACCGGCACCTCTTCCCCTGCTTCTCCATGGCTGACACCCCTCCACCAAAATCGGAGATGCTACATATAGAATCGAGCTCTCGGCTGCCAGATTGAGCTACTCTCTGGCTGAGTGAAGGTCCTTATCACCAGATTTACCTCCCCACCAATCACATCAAGCCTCAAGCAGTCGGATCAGGAGGTGCCACCGTGCCAGTACCTGGGTCGAGTCTCTAGCGTCTCTGTCTACACCATGGCCAAATTCAACCAACTGGAATCAGATCTCGTGGTGTCTGGCACTTCACAGAGCTGTGGCGCACCTCTGTGGCCGTCATCTTATTTAGCTCCGCTTATGCTCCCGGTGAGGGAGCCAACACAACAGCCCAATGGAACCAGAGGGAGACGAGAGAAGTTTTTTTTTTAATTCCTTACTATTGCCACACAGTAAGCTTTACAGTGGGCCATAAGTTTTTTTTCTAAGGTGTATTTGCGCAATGTTTATGGCCGGCAACAAACCTGCATTTATTGTTTATTATGGTGTACTTTTCATTCACAATCCGGTTGCCCTAATTAGCTGTATCAAAAAGGTGCATTATTATCAAGGTCTCCTGGACTAGGTCCAATGCAAATGCCACCAGGGCTGCAAAATTAAAGTACAAAGTTGATTGTGTTGAAGTTTAGTTACTTAAAAATTCTACATGGCATTGTCAAAAGGTACAGTCAAAACTAATAGTGCAATAGAGGATAGCAAGAGCATGAAGCTAACAAGAAATAGTCTTAGCAAGAGCACAATCACTGCAACATTTGCAAAATATCCACAGGTCAATTTGTGCCTTGATCATAAATCAAAATATCCATAAGTCTATCTGTTTCCTTTATTCATTTATCTATGTTTGTATCAAAAGTAGTTCCAAACTTAACCATTTGGGAAATTTATGCAACATGCTACCTCAAAAGATAGCCTGGAACTCTACAGTATTTCCTTTCTCAGTTAAAAGTAAGACGAGTTGAATTAAGAACCAAAAAGTTTACCTCTCCCAAACTTGCCATCAGAACACATCTGGTTAGAGCTTGACATATTATCCACCAAACCAATATACGTGACCTGAGCATACAAAGTCAGGTTAGCAAGTTATAAAAGTACAACAACAATCTCAAATCAGTAATTTGCCTGAAAAAAATCTCAAACCAGTAGTGATGCTTTGAAAAAAGACCAATCGGCTCGGAATATCAACTAGAGAGCAGAAGTAACCATGTCTCTCGTTTTCAACAGCCAGTGGCTAAAATTGGGCATCGTCCACCTGATCTAACCATATCCAACAACTTTATAGAACCCTAGTTGCCCAAATCGAATTCCACGGGAAACGGAGGTAAAGTTAGGGTTGGGGCTCACCTTGGAGTGGACTGAAGGAGGAGGACGTGTGGACGCCGGCCGGATTGGTGAGGGAGAGTCGCCGCAGGGGGTCTAGGAGGGGAGTGCTGGTCGGGGACTTGTGGTGCGGGCGACAGCATACGGCGTGGGACGGTAGCGGGGTGCGGCCGGGAGCCGGCAGCGGGACCGGGAGCGACTGCGACGGAAGTCTGGATCCCCCCGCGCGGCCGCGCGGCGTGTGGCAGTGCGGGGTGTCGTGTGTGGCTTGACTGATTTGGCTGAACGCCCTAGTGGCTACTGTGCGTCGAATTGAATATCTCCTGTGGGAGCCGCAAATGGGCATCGCGCCGCTCTCTAGTCGCCGGCGACAGTTTTGGAGTGGGCCCGTGGGTTGCGCCAGCAAGCAACCTTAGGGCTTCCCCAGCTGTAGCCCAGGTGCCATTCACGATCAGTCGCAAAAAAAAATGCAGATAGGATAAAAAAAAAAGTACAATAGCGGCTATGCTCCTCGAGGAACGTGGTCCATGTTAAAAAAGAAAAAAAAGAGGAGATAAGGTGAGGTATGATAAAAAAAAAGTTTATTTACAAACTACAAATAATAATAATTTACATTATGTGAATAGTAGTATCAATATTTCTTAGTTTATATGGATCACGTTATTAGTATTAGAACCCAAGTGTTAGTCTCCATGGGTGGTGCTCTTAGGGCATGAGTAGCAGAGGCTAATGTTTTGTCTGACAAAAAGTGATACCATTTTAGACGAAGCGACAATCAAGGTGGTTAGTCCTACCACACAAGTTTCTGAGTCTGTAGGGTCCATAGTACTTAACCTTTTTAATTATTGCCGTGTTTAGTTTCAAAGATTTCTCAAAAAATGCTACAGTATCCATCACATTGAATCTTACGATACGTGTATGGAGCATTAAATGTAGACGGAAAAAAAACTAATTGCACAGTTTGGTGAGAAATTACGAGACGAACGTTTTGAGCCTAATTAGTCCATAATTGAACACTAATTATCAAATAAAAACGAAAGTGCTACGGTAGCTCAAATTCTAAACTTCAGCCAACGGACTGTATATATTGTATTTGGACCGTGGTCCCTGAATAAGCAAACGCAGATTGAGTTCTTATTCTCCCCAACGCGCAGTCGAGTGGCTGCCTCTGCTTTGTACAGACCAAGCACTGTAGCCTCTGCAGGCAGCTCTGACCTCCTACGAGACCACTATTTGATGTGATATGCAGCATGTTCGGCGGGAGAGAAACGATCGTATATGATCGTAAATTTTCAGCCAGAATAATATTTTTTTCTCATACAAACCAGCCAATAGTACTTCTTCACGAACCAGCAACGATATGAACCAGCCAACATAACAAGCCGATGGCTGCTGAGTGCCGACATGAAGGTTGGGGTAGCACTGGTAGCACTCCACCGTGGTGCATTGTGGAAGCCCTTATAAAAACTTTAACTTTAACGTATATGTGTTTGTTAGCTGGTTCCTTTAGGCCTCTTTGGAATAGGAAAAACATAGGAATACAATACATTAACACTTCAAATCCTATAGGATTTTAAAAGAGAGGAAAGTTTGTGAAGAAACCTTTGAAAGGAATATAGGAAAAGCATAGGAAACAAAACAATGAGGTTGGAGCTCATGTTTAGCTTCCTCCAAAATTACTTTAGGAATGGCCAGATCCATATGAGTTTCGAAGGAATTGTTGGAAAATATCCGTTTGTTCAAAAAGGCTTCATAGGACTTTTTTTATTTGAAACATACATAAGAATTTTTTTCTATAGGATTTAGATTCTTCAAAATTCTTATGTTTCCTCCATTCCAAAGGGACGTTGTACTCCCTCCGTTCATTTTTAAGTGTTGCCTAAAATTTCGTGTAAATCAAACTTTTAAAAATTTGATTAGATTTATAGAAAATATGAGCAATATTTATATCTTTAAATAAGTGTGTTATAAAAATATATTCAATGATTAATAATTAATATAATAATATTTATTATGCATCATAAATATTAGTAAATTTATATATATATATATATGGCTAAAATTGAGTATGTTTGACACCTCAATATGTTAGAATGACACTTAAGGACGCAAGAAGTATGTACAATTTAGGTGGTTCTATCTTTGTGTAAAATGGTTTAGTATTTAGTTTTACTAGGTAGCGTGCCCGTGCGTTGTTATGGGACAACTAAAATTTTGTACTAAAAATACACGGATCGCACGATAAGATAACAATACTATAAGATATTGAACTGATATTTAATCCAAAAAGAAAAGTTTATGAAATTAACAGTCACTAAGAGCACAGCACCACAGGCTCACAGACTCTACTACATAGATCTTTTCGTGATACGGCTTAAATAATGTTTTATATCGGCAAGAAGTCTCCGATAATACAAACTAAATGAAGCAATCAAATATGTCAGACAAACATTGCTCAATCCACATATTTTGAACCTGTTTGACCAATGAAAATGCACAAAATGACTATTATATTAAACTAAATTCATGTCCATCATCTATTCAAAGTGCATGTCATAAGCGTGTAAATAATTTCAATATTATTTAGTTCTCTAAATCTATGAGACGCGACACTATATCCTTAGCAAATTCTTAAACTCGGCGACGTCTGGCTTCATCAACAAGCAGGCGATTGCGTAGGCCTATAAACAAATAAAAAACTTTTGGATCAGTGTTGTAGTCAATAAATTAAATCAATGAATTACCCCAAAAGAACCTCACTTTGAAAATCATGCGCCTAATTACAAATAGGACTGAATACCAATTCGTTGAAATCGTCAGTAGTGGTCACTCTGCCTATCATGCATGAACAAAAAAAATGTAATAACTGATACTTTATTTAGTCAATACATATGAGGACATCAGTGATACAATACCTCTCTTTCTATTCGTTTGTACATGGAGACCAGCTAAAATGCGCAACTCTGATGCCGCTCGCCGCCATTCCGATAAGTGATGGCATATGTGTATACTTGACGGTTATTATGATGTAGTGGTACCTACGAGTTATAAAATTGATTAGCATCAAACAATAAAAAATTGATAGCATGGAACAATGATAAAATTTTTATTCTAAGTACCTTTCATTCATCAGCACCACATATCTATACAGTCGCATCCGCACGTTATCCCTTCCTCGAATATTAGACACATGCACAACTATACCAAAGACATCTACAAACACAAACGATAGTTATTGATAGAATAGAAGCATAAACAGTTAACTATATATTTTTAAATATAGACGTATGAGGTATACCTACAAAAAAGTACTTAGCTTGAGCGTATACATCATCGAATTCCATAAAGGTACGAGGACACTGATAAATCCATGGCTCTCTCGGTGGTGCATTAACCATACTTTGTGGAGATAGAACCACAAAGTAGTCGGCACATAAATGGAAGATGTAGCCCAAAGGGCCAACATGAGTAGGCGCGAAGCCAACTCTCATGAAGTCGTAACATTCTCCTACACGAAGCAAACGGTCGAACCTCATGGTTTGGTCGCCGTACGCAACCGCTTCTATTTTGGTTCCCGGTAAAAATATTAGATCCAACAAATAGATAACAATGGTCTATAGAAAAAAATTAGACATGGTTCAAAAAGATGAGCTCAAAATGCACCTGCTCATCCTTCAAAATTACACGTAAATATGTATCATCATGGTGATGTCGTACGTTGCCTTTCTAAAAAACCATGGCACTCACATCCCATATGGAAGATATGTGTTCCATTCCCACTTTATGGAATTCAACCTATCTACAATCCCGTCCGTGTCAATCAAAATGATAAAACACACGAGTAAACCTATGTTGATAAAAAATGATTGCATCGATCAATTACAAGATAAATGTAACGTAATTACTTGTAGATGTGTGTATCGGTGATTGCAGGCGGCGGGTCAGCGTACACCCTCTTTCTTTTGAGCGATCGACAGCTAGAACCTATATCGGCAACTGAGAAACCAAAATCATGAAAATATATAGGATAACATTAGTCGGTCTGAACATAATATACTATTATTCTATGGAGATTGGCAAGCAATTAAAGATTTAAAGTTGTTCGCGTGCTCTGTGTCTCTGTCCTGTTATCTTGATGACGTCATGTGAGGCCTCTAAAATAACTACAACATCTACATTGTTAATTTGTTAGCATACATGACCGCAAATTTGATGCTCGTGCGTGACCACGTGCCAGCAAAATTTGAATTGCAGTATACGGTGATAGATCGTGATGCAAATCAAATCATCAAAATGAGATCATGTTTTGGTTGCTGTCATGATGTCTTAGAAATAATTTTTTGTTTATAATTTATTATTGGAGTTGTGTAGCCTCCAGAAATCCAATCCAAACAGGGCCATGAAATTTATAGGATTTACATGCTCCAAGAAGTATAGTGAATAAATTTTATAAAGAGATAAAAGGAGCTAAGCCTTGCATTAGCTAGAGATCCCAACACGCATCACATAGCCTCTGCACGTATCTATCCAAGACTCTTAAAGAGGCATGATTTCATATCACACAAGCACTGGAGGCAATAACAAATAAAGAAACGCATCAGTGCATGATGTGATTCACTAATAGGGTGGACGCATTCTATATAACAGCCATATTTTGTTCATCCACGTGCGCGGAGGGCGCGCGTATTCTACTATTTTTTTAATTTCTTTCTTGTGTCATGGGAAACAAACAGATTTAGGGGAAGGCGGACGACCAGGCCAGGGGGCGGCCGGACAGGGCAGAAGGATCTAGAACTGTCCACAGTGATTATGTTTGGGCCTAAACACTACTACACGTGGGCTATACATTCGTTGCGGGCTTGCGACAGCTCGTGGGCTCATGGCAGGTCCATCGGCCATCGCCACGGCTGCACTACAATTATTAGGGCCTTGTTCACTTTGCAATTTTTTTTTGAACCCGATGAATAATATCACTTTCGTCTTATTTGACAAATATTGTTCAATCGTGGACCAACTAGGCTCAAAAGATTCATCTCGTGATTTCCAACTAAACTGTGTAATTAGTTTTTTTTTTACCTACATTTAATACTCCATGTAAGCGGCTAAAAATTGATGTGATGGAGAGAGAGTGAAAAAGCTTGAAATTTGGATGGCATCTAAACAAGGCCTAGGATATGCACCCATTTAAAAATAGACAATAGAGAAAAGGTTTTTTTCTCTGAATGATTAAGACTGAAATGACCTCTACGTGAACCTGTACCTGTGCAAGACTGGAAGGTTCCTGCCAGATCAAGAATAGGGACGAGCAGGGAGGGGTACTATCGGCAAGGGGCGAACCATGGCCGCTTGTGTGCATGTCGATTGAATGAGCTGCCGAGATTAGAATATTTATTGTTTTAATTGATGCACGGGGCAGGAAAAACGTGAATTAGACTCTTGCTATACTCTTATTTGAATCAAACTCTCCAATTAGTTTTATATTGTCTGAAATTGAGCATAGGCCTGAAAAAGTTTCAGGTTCATAAACATAATTTAACTCAATGGACACGAAGATTCAGTTTTATATTCGAGAATTACAAAAGAGATAAATGATATAGTACCATTGTCTGTATTATGTAGGTTCGCTCACCAGTAATAAACTCATCAGAATTCAGGGTATAACACCCTATCTGTTTTATTCAGTCTTCAGTTGTACAACTGCATCAAGATCGAGTCAATGTTTATGTCTACTTTGAGCTGGCTAATCCTTCATCTCAAAGCCAGGTATCCAAGCAAGATGTAGATGAAAACTAATGGAAGATGTAGATGAGAACTAACCCATACAAACATAAACAGGTTAGGTACCAGGGTCCCGGTCGTTGACTGTGTAGATTCTCCACGGAAGTTAGGCTCAGAAAGCTGCAACTTCACCATACCAATGCACGCAGCATCAGATATCAGATAAAAAAATCAACCGACGTCCGCCTGCCCCGTGTAACTTCACCAGATGGAAAATATCAAGTTGAAGGGGCATGGGGATAATGGGGTCGTACCTAGCGGTGTCTGCATGAAGGAGTGTCGAAAGAGCAAAGAAAGCCTGGTGGCAATGGAGGTCTTGTCGGTCATGGAAGGTGCGCTGCAGTGCCACTGCTTGCCGCCGGAGCGCTGGCAACGGAGGTCCTACGGCACCGGTGCATAGCCAACCCCGCTGCCGCGTTGAGTCACTGCAGTTCCACCACCATGACGAACGAGATCTAGGTCGCTTCGGCTAGAGGCATGCTCCTCCGCCCGCTGTCACAGCTGGACGTACAATCTGGGGAGGAACGCGGAGCGATGAGCGTGCTTGGGGACGGACCCGAGGCACTGTTCCATCATAGACTCAGAACGCTGGCAACGCAGGTCCTCCGGCACGACACTGACCTTTGCGTGATCGCTGGAGGGGCTTAGCTGGAAACCATGTGGGTGTTGACGTCCTCTGCTATGGGATCGGCAAATCGGCGTTGACGTCCTCTGCTATGGATCGAGCCGGACTAGAGGAGATCGGGGGTAGGGGCGTTGTGTTTCCTTCTAATGTCGCAGTGATTACCTCCAGTTTCCATCTATTCTCACGGTGAATGGAAGTGCCGGGCGGGGTCTGGGAGCGAGCGCCAGAATTGTCGGGCGAGACCTGGGAGGGCACGAAATCATGGCAAATGCTGCGGTAACGATTCGATTTCATGCACAGATAGAGGTTCACAGTTTAAGAACTTAAAGCAGAAACACAGATGGTTCATGACGAATTACTAGACCAACCATTCCCAAACCACTACCACGACAACACGCATCACATAGCCTCTGCACGTATCTATCCAAGACGCTTAAAGAGGCATGATTTCATATCACACAAGCACCGGAGGCAATAACAAATAAGAAACGCATCAGAGCAGGATGAGATTCACTAACAGGGTGGACGTTTGTGGAAGACAGAAGATGTTGGAAGCTCCTCCTGTCGGTCTGCAGTCCTCCTCGAGGGCACAGCAAGACGATGAAGGCGATGGCGGCAGGAGACGACGATGGCGACGCGCTATGGCGAAGCACAGCTGCTGCGCGAGAGAGGGCGCGAGGGCGGAGGCCGGTGCGAGCGAGGGCGAGCTCAGCTGGCGAGGGTGGGCGCTATGGTGAGGCCACAGGATTTATAGCAGAGGATTGATAGCAGTCTCTCTCTTTTCTTTTGTCTTAATTATCTTTTCTTCTGTGTTAATTCTCTTTCCTTGCAGCAAGGCGCAGGGGAGCCGAGAGAGGCTTGTTGCCATGTATGCTGGTGCATGCAAACATGCAATATGTATATGGATAGCATAAGAATTTTCTACTTCCTATTTTGCCGTGATTCCTCTATCACATGACAGGCAATATTCAATCAAGGAGAATGACACGATCAATCAGTAATTAAGATTAACCTATAATCAATATGTAATCGGTTTGACCAGCCTATAATACACTGTATATTTATTTATATGAACCTAAATAAGCGAAAGTATATTGACTACACTTGCTTGAAAACTAATATGTTAATCAATCCATGTAGTTTGCTGAAATGGTACTGAACAAATTTGTCGTAAAAGGTCAATTATGGGTCGAGTAATGCCAACTGGTATTACTTTAAAAACGTACTCAATAGCCAAATCATAAAAGGTCAAAATGCTACCGGTGCTACTAACAGTCTGCTATTAGTTTAAAGTGAGGTCCAATAAACTGTACTTCCATGCAAACTGTCACATGCAAAGAGTAGGAAGACATGCTCAGAAAACTATCTTAACTGAGAATTCTTTGAAACCACTACCTATAATCTAGCGCATGGTGATACTTGACTGTTGGGTAACTGAGAATAAAACAGTCACGTTAGATTGATTGTTGTGCATAAATAAGACTGGATATAAGCGGATAGGAAACTACTATAACGAAGGAAGAAGAACATCAATACATTAGTTACACGTCGACACTATTATTTTGATGGAGGCCACATACCTAAGCCCATGGTACCTTGTAACCGCCAAAAAATTTACGTCGCAGGCCTGCATAAAACATAAAGCCATCAACAATTATGTACTTGAAAGGCGACATACGGAAAATTAGTTCTAATATTTTGAACAAAAAGGAGAAAAGTATCAAATCCAATACTAAGGTTGCAGTTGCCTATTTCTAAACTAAAGCACATCATGGAGCTGGATATACAGAGCAAAGAAGCACTGAATAAAATAACATATATGTCCCGTTCCTTTTTTTTGGTTAATGAGAAGGCGAAATAACAGGAAAGCCTGCTAACATGGAACCAAAGAAGCAACATAAGCAAATCATGGAGGCGCAAACCCAACAAAGAAGCATTGAACTAAAATAACCAAGAGGTTTTTGCCATTTTGTTTGCTTGACCCGAGGGTGAAATAACAGGATAGGCTAGTAACATAAAACCACTATAGCAACAACTAAGTAGTAGCTAAAATTAGAAATGTCCAGTTCTGTGATCTGGTTATTGTTCCTTCATTGGTCCCCTCTGTTATCAACTTGAGAAAGCAACTATCTTAAAGGTGACATGACATCCCAGAGACCAGGCAACAAAACGAAGAAAAGGAAAACAATATAACTAAAAGGAAAAATAACTACCGACACTGATGACTGCCAATTTTGAGCATAGACATAAGAAAGGAAAAAATGAGCATCCAGTGCAAGCATCAATGGAGAGCAACCCTTGCAACGACAGAAAAATTCTTGTGAGGCTACCTGAAGTGTTAATCCTAACTTCGTACAGAATCTACAAAAGTTGGTCTTGTATTAATCTCAAGAAGCATTCAGCATGCACTAAAAAAGTATCTCTTTTTATGAGAGACATATGGTAGCATCGTTAGAAAAAAGAATACGTAATCTATTTCAGCCGTCAAAATGCTTGGAATTTCAGGAACGTGAACTTACATGTTTCAAGAGAATAAATTTAGATGTTTGGGAAGGTAGGCCTTAAAATGGGCAACTCACATGTTGAGAGTAAGTAGCAGAGTATGAAACATAACTAATTTATTTAGCGAAAATGAAACCTATAATTGAAGGACAAACTACCTGTTGTTATTAGCTAACAGCAAATGGGTTCGGTACCATGTAAACAAACCACAGTTGTATTGACCCAAATGCAGTAATCTGCCAGCGGGTGGAAAGCTCTATCACTAATGAACTAAAAATCGTTATTAGTTGATACAGAAAGTAGCCAAAAAAGTTTGGACCCGTAAGGTTCTGCTTTTGGTGCATCTTTTGGAGTGCTATTTCCGCTGCCATGGCCAGGTTCACTTGCAGGTGTTTCCACCGATCTTGCTTGAGCTGGAGCTTTGCCACCAGAGTAGGTAAATGTTAGCAATCTGTCTACAATTTGGAAAAAAAAAATATATTGACTCCTTTCATGATCGGTGAAATTATTAGAAGGAAGAATCTCTTTGGCTGCTTTGATGGTGAAGGCACCTACATCAAAAACAAACGACCAGACATATCAGACTGATATATCTAAACTCATGTCGAGGTCCAGAAGAAGGTGGAGATCGGACATGAATCGAGATGGAGAAAGAGGGGACACAGACCTCTCACTGTGAGGACGGTGGCGAGGTATTCGAGGATGGCGGCAAGGTTCGGCGAGGTAGTGGAGGATGGCCCCGAGGTCCGGCGAGGTGACCTGGGGGAGCCCATGCTTGCCGGCGGAGCTGAGGATGAGCAAGGCTCTAATGGCCGCTTCTCGCCGTCCGGGCCGGCCGGCTCCCCAAGCCCATTCGCCATCACATCCCGTCCGTCATGGATCCGCCGGCGCAGCCACCGGCACGGCAAGGCACCGCGCATCTGCGTGTGCGCCGCCGCCGGGCAAGAGGAAGAGGCGACAAAACTCTACCGGAGGCGACATCTGCGCACGCTGCGGTCGGTGGAGAGGGAGGCCAAAGCGGAGGCTGCGCCGGCGAGGCGCCTTGGCGCGGCACATGCACGCGCTGTGGTCGGTGGAGAGGAAGAGGCGGCGGAGGCGGCGGCGCTGAGGCAGGATTTGTACGGGCTTTTTTCCGTTTTCACGGGGGGCGGGGGAGACGAAGAGGAGGGAGCGGAGGCATCGAGACACTGTGCGCAGTATCGCAAGGCAGGGGCGGAGCGACGATTGTCGCACGAAACGGTGGTCTGGTCTTACTTTCTTTCTTTTTAGTTGTAGAAGATTAAGATCCTCTTTGGAACATAGGATTGCACAAACAATAAAAATAAGAAAAATATAGGAACTTTGTAGGAATGCAATTGCAAAACATAAGATCCAAAAACACAGAAAAACTATTTAGGTAGGTGTTTGGATGGCTACAGAAAATTCACAAGAATAGGAATTGTATAATCTACCATGATGTTATGTGATGCTTGTTCTCTAGCTCTTCATTTGTACTCGCTCTGTCCCTTATTTGTTTGCCGCTATGAGAATCGTGCTGGTCAAACTTTTTTAAGTTTGACTAAGTTTAGAGAAAATAGGTCCTGTCTAGTATATGGTTAAAGGAAATAAAACCTCCACAGTGATCGAGGGAGGTCAAAAACACACGTACAAGTTGCACTGACAGATTTCAAAGTTTGAGCCGTGCAGGTGAGATAAAAAAAAAGCTAGCATTTTCACTTCTTGTATACAAAGTGCAACAACCAAAAATACAAAAACAAAAACAGTTGTTATTACGTCGTTAAAAATGCAAAGGCCTACCAACACAAACCCCCCTTCCTGTATTCCACTCCTATCATTGGAGTTGCTGCCCAAAGTGCGGCCAGTGTGTAAGTTTATTGTGTCCAAATGCTTGAATCTTAGTTGCCTCATCATTTCACCATAATGAACAATGTACTTCGAACAAAAGAAAAATATCAAACACTGGCAAACAAAATTTCAGGGGACACCCTGCATTCCACACCATGGGTATAGGTTAACCATCTGATGGCAGAAAGTGCTGATGCCCCTACTGTAAGTTGCGGGTGTCAAACATTGAATTTCAATCCCTTTCGTTTATTCATCTTTCTCTCGAACATTGAATTTCGCAATGAAGAAACCAATGGTATCCACTGATGATGATGGATCAAACCTCTGAACAAGTTCAGCTTCATCCTCTCTCAACCATTCTCTGCAAGGGCATGAACGTTTCAGAGATGGAAAATCAACTTTTCAGTAAGGTGCATTTGAAAGATTTTTCAGAGTTGGAAGGACAACTTTCAGTAAGGTGCATCATGAAAGAAAAGCCTCGCTGATGAATAATAATCTTATAAGTTATAACTAACACGATTAAGTCCATTTTGGTACGCAACCCCCCCCCCAAAAAAAAAAAAGAAAAAGAAAAACAAATCTTGTGCCTGTGTTAAATTAAGCCCCCAACTACAGAATCGAGTATGTTTGGCACCTCAACTATTTGGCTCAACCAGATTTGTAGATGGGGGTTAAAATTAGACAAACACAAGAGTTAAGGGGCAAAATTGGACTTAATCCTAACTAATATGCCTCCCTAATGATTATATATATATATATATATATATATATATATATATATATATATACATAAACAACTGATTATTTGGCTCCTAACCAATGATATAAGTGACAAAAAACATGTAACAATCTAAACCTCTTGCTAGTTTCACTTGATAAAGAAGTTATCCATATTCCAATGCCATGTATAACATACATGGTACAGCACCCTAATGATTTGAATTTGGACATAAGGAAAAGTTACATGCACCTTAAGAACTAACAGAACTGTTTCTGGACTGAAAATCGCCAGTTTGCCCAGCAAGTGGAACAGTCCTGTTCCAGTTTTAGGGGGAGTTGCCAATAATTACCAATAAATGAAATTGAATTGTCCAAGCATTATCTAAATAACAGGCTCAGCTGTTGAATTTCTGACAAGGTGAAAACAATAATCTTACTCAGTATATGTCTTGTTGAACAGCTCACACGAACCAACAATACCAGGCCCTCCAACTTTCGGAAACTGAAAAATAAGAATGAAGATGATGTGGAAAATGCAGTCAAAAGTCCTGTAAATATCAATTTTAGTACCCTGGAAAATCTCGCATCCATCTTTTGAACAATAATGTGAAGACCAGAGCCATGATGTGCAAGATTACAAGATTTAATGTCTGAACTCTGAAGATACATGTTATCAGTGTACACTATCAAATCAAGTTCCTTGGCATCTCAGCCCACATCACACAGTTCGAAAAACCTAAGCAGGTATATATCACATGGTTTTGCTGCCTTCTATGGAGTATGGCTTTATGAATTACTTTCTTATTTTGCAATCTACTTCCTGATGCAGTTTAAGATAATATTGGTGAATTTTTTTTAGCAATGTACAAATTAATCAGTTGCAAATAATGGAACTTACCTGTGATACCAGTGACAGATATTTGTAGGTATCCAATGCATATCTCACCAAAGCCTCATTCTCCCCTGGATTTATAGTACACCTGCAACGCAGAAAAGAAAGGCACGAGCACTAATAAACAAACTATTCACTGAGCTCTGCTTTATACTACATTGGCAATGCAGAAAAAAAGGATGAGCACTAATAAACAAACTATTCACTGAGCTCTGTTGTTCGACCTTTGAATTGATGATCACATCAACCACTATACCAGTTCGTATTTGTTAGAGTATTTATTTCCTCTAGGTATTACTTTGTATCGGCTGCCTCTTGGGTTTCTACCCCGTGTGCTGCCTAGGTACTCCCAGCTTGTTGCCTGGGACTTCTCCCCTCTTAACTCTCTAGTTTAGCCTCTCTCTCTATATATGTAACCCTCTTGTAATCTCATCATCAAGTAATCTAAGCCTCTTGGCCTTTCTCTATCATGGTATCAGACTAAAGATTCCTCTGCTTCCTCTGCTTCCGCTCCTTTCGGCGCCCGCCTCGAGCCGCGCCCGTCCCTTCCTCTCCCGCGTGCGCGCCCTTCCTTGCCGCCGCAGCCCGCCTCGGGTCGCGCCCTTCCTTGCTGCCGCAGCCCGCGACCTTTCCCTGCCGTCGCCCGTCGGCATGCCTGAAGCTGCCCAGCCGCGCGCCCATGGCCACTTCAACCTCCGGCGCCTCCACCGCGGCTACCGCGATCAAGCTTCGTGATGAAGCTCTCGCCGCCGCCCAGAAGCTGGAGGAGGAGGCCGCCTCCCTGCACTCCACCAACACCGACCGCAGCCAGCAGCTTCAGACGGAGGCTGATCTCCTCAAGTCCGCTGCTGCCGCTCAGGATCGCGTTCGGGTCGCCGCTGACGCCCTCGAGAAGGAGCACGCGCAGGCCGACGCCCTTGCCCTCCGGGACCGTCTCCGCACGGACTCCTTCCACGACGATGGCTCTCAGGACGGCGGCGATCACTCCTCCTCCGACGCCGCGACCATCGCTCACCTGCACAGCCAGGCTGCCGCTGTCCAGAACATCAAGAACTTGATTCCGATCGTTCTGGACCTCCAGTCCTCCAACTACTCCAAGTGGCGCGGCTACGTCCTCCTCATCCTCGGCCGCTTCGCGTTGAAGGATCACGTCCTCAGTGACGCCTCCCGCTTCACCGATCCTGCGTGGTCCCGCATGGACTGCGTGGTCGTCTCCTGGATCTTCAACACCATCTCCACCGATCTTCTGGACGTCATCCACGAGCGTGACGGCATCTCCGCTCGGGCTGCGTGGCTCGGCATTGAACAGCAGTTCCTGAACAATCGCGAGTCACGCGCCATGCTCCTTGACGCTGAGTTCCGTACTCTCTCCCAGGGCGCCCTCTCTATCGACGACTACTGCCGCAAGATGAAGGGCATGGCTGATGCCCTTGCCGATCTTGGCGAGCCTGTCCATGACCGTACTCTGGTGCTGAACATACTGAGAGGCCTCAATGAGCCTCAATGAGCGCTTCCAGTTCATGTTGCAGTTCATCACACGCCACAAGTCGTTTCCCTCCTTTGCGGACGTCCGCGCCTGGCCGAGCTCAACATGGCACCTCCATCGTCTCTTCGTCCAGCAAGCCACTTGCATCCTAGCCGGCCTCTGGGTCTGCAACCCAGCGCCCTCAACAGAACACCGGGGAGCGTCCTCAATAGAACGCCGGGGGGGGGGGGCTTCTCTGGTAATGGCCGTGGCCGGCGTCGTCGTGGCGGCCGTGGCCAAGGCGGCTCGAACAGCGGCTCCCCCGGTGGTTCCCAGTGGTCCTCCCTTCTCAACCCGTGGACCGGGTCCATTCACATGTGGCCCGAGGCTACTCCCGGTGGCCCTCGCGGTCCACCTCTCCGCACCGGCCCGCCTCCATCGCAGCAGCTGCAGCAGCACGCTCTGGTGGCCAGCGTGCCTCCAACCTACTACCCTTCGGCTCCTGGGACATACCAACAGGTGCCCACCCAGGCGCCTCATCCTACCTGGACGCCAGCACCACCTCCGACGCCTCCCGCTTGGTCACCATGGGATCCTCAGTCCCTCGCCAACGCCTTCAGCACCATCACCCTCACCCCGCCACCGACCTCCTCGGACTGGGTGATCGACTCGGGTGCTTCGTCTCACATTGCCTCCAACCCTGGTATGGTTACCGTATCTCCATCCTCCTCTTTTCCTTCATTGTTGTGGGAAATGGCGCCACTCTACCGGTCATTGGCACCGGATACTCCACTCTTTCTGGCCCTTTCCGTCTCAACAATGTCCTTATAGCTCCTGACATCATTCAAAATCTCCTTTCCGTTCGCCAGTTCACTACTGATAACTGGGTTTTATCTGCTATCTCTTGGCCTTTCTCTATCAGTATTGTATGACATGCAGATACTAGATAGGACAACATTGTAAATTAGCAACATGTACACAAACTAGGATTATAAATCAAGTTCTTCAATCAAATAGCAATCAAGGATAGTCCTGCAATATATGAACTAGTTGTTTTCTTGACTACATGGGTAACAACAAAATGCTAAATTTCTTGACTATGACTTATGACTCGTATTTATGCAGCAACTACAATGAACTTCTGATGATAAATCACTAGCTCCACTGTTGTATCCTGGCCCTGTCCTTTATGTTCAATCTCTGGATAGGACAGATAAGGTGGCCTTAGGAGCTCCTAGACATGTCCAGTAAGTGTTTACTAGACACGTGAGTTGTATTTTCTGCTAGGTGTATATATGTGTGTGATCTGTATGCAGCTCTAATCCCCCCTCCTTTTCTTCTTAATAT